CAAAACACTTGCAAGCTTCACATAAAGTCATGTGATGGGGGAATGTGGAGAGGAGATTATACACCCAACATATAGTCTCAATTTAGTTTCTTTGAATGGAGAGCAACATCAGAGAGTATCTCCCAAAGAACTAGAAAAAAATAATAATGAAGAGGTCAAATGAATGTCAAAGCAGTTCCCATCTGGATTATCTAAAAACTGTATCCAGCTGTATGAATACAGAAAATCAGCAATAGCATTTTTTCCTTCTCACCTGTATTCTCATTTTCACCTGTATTTCCCCCTCTGACCCTTACACAAATTAGACATTCTTTCTGTGTGCTGCAAGTATCTGTGTGCCCATGCTATAAACATGCCAGAGAATGGTGGCCCCTGACTCTTCACCTACGATGAAATATACAAGTGAAGCGGTAAATGTCTAAATCTATTGTTGCGCAATTGCTGAGTTATTTACTTCTGTGATTTTAAGAGCCAAAGGTCCACTGACTTGTCTCAAGTAATAAGACACTGGACGTCAATGTTGCAAAATAACATAAGAGATTAGGTAAGTGGAGTGAGCAGTCAGACTGATGCAAATCAACTGTATTGGAAAGACAGTTAAAATTGTTAAGAGTTCTAAAGTGGAAAAGGGAGTGGAGTTGGAAGGCATGAAACAACTTGCAAAAAGAAAAACTTGCCTATGGTTTTTTCTACTATGGTGTTCTAAACCACATTATTAAAATTTAATGAGGTAAAAATAAACATTAAAAATTCAACCAGTGATTAGTTTGATGAACATTTGCTTATCCATGGATTGATGTAAACACTACCCACATAATTTCCAGGACTTTAAGAGGCCCACGCTTGCCCTTTCCCAGTCAGAATCCTTCATTCCCAGAGATAACTACTATTCTCACTCTTGTCACTAAAGTTTAACATGATCTGCTCTTGAATTTTATACATATAGAATATTAGAGTATATATTCTTCTGTGTCATGTTTCTTACACTCATCCTTATCCCTAGGAGATTAATCCATGAAGTTGTTGTACTTCTTACAATTGTTGTGTAGTATTCCATTGCACAAGTATATGGCATTTATCCCTTCTCCTATTGACAAATAGGGTTGTTTCTTCTTTGTTTATTATGAATAAACCTGCTAGGAATGTTCCTGTACTTAACTTTTTTATATATAGGCTATCATTTCTCCTGGGGTAAGCACCAAGGAGTACAAATCATTTGATTTACTTCAGTTTCCTACAATGGAGCAAATCTTATGAAGAGGACTCTAAAGTGTACTTCCTGTTTTAAATAGTTCTGTCTCCACCACCTGCCTTGCAAGCGCAAGGATCCAAGTTCGATCCCCGGTACCCCCCCCAAAAAAAGTTCTGTAAAGTGATGATGGAAAAGGCTGTCACTATTGGGCAGCAACTAAATGTTTCAGATCCTCTGCAACAGAAGCATGTGTCTCCCTCATAGCTACTTTAAAATTATAAATTATTATTTCTATTTGCAAATAAAATACTGAGTGAAAGATTCTATATTTGGAAATAGCCCTTGCTTTTTTGAAGGTGTTTTTTTTATGTGTGCGTGTGCGTGTGTGTGTGTGTGTGTGTGTGTGAGAAAGGGAGGAGATACTGTGCAAACAGTCTAGGGCCACTAATAGTAAGAGATTTAAAGTCTTCAGATTTCCAAACCCTGGTGTTTGAACTGGAACATGTAGGATAAGGAAAACTAGACCAACATGAGGAAAGCAAGATTTCAGAAAGATCAAGGTGGCACCTGTGTATGGAATTGGCTGATAGTAGGAAAAGCAATCAAAAGCTACTGTGAGAGTCAAAGAAGAACACTGACATTTAAACCCAGGAAGCTGGATATAAGGAGGAAAATTAAGACTGAAGACAACAGAACTTGCTATTTTATAGTGTTTTAAAAAATATAAATATTTGCAAATACATTATCTGTGCCATGTGAGGTAGGCAGACATGATGATGATAGAAAACATTTTATTGATGGGAAAGCTGAAGAAAACAATGGCCCAAACTCACCTCCAAGTAAGAAAATTACAGAGGTGAGACTTGAATCCACTTCTGTTGTTTCACCATATGACGGGCCTACAGGTGATGACTGAGATGACTACACTCCTTTCCCATCCCCTCATTTAAATGTAAATTATTACCCGGAGAGACTTGGTTTTGTCAATTGCAACCTCTACCACCATCTCTAGGGATTTATCCATCTATCTTTTGATTTATTTATCTATTTTTGAGGTACTCGAAATTGAACCTATGGCCTTTCCATTCAGCTACATCCCCAGCACTTTTAAAAATTTTAAAATTAATTTTGCTAAGTCTCTAAGTTTCTCAGGCTGGACTCAAACCTGCAATTGAATCCTCTCAACCTCCCAGGGTGCTGGGATTATAGGCATGTACCACCATGCTTGATTTGTTTTGTTATTTAATTGAAGAAGTGACTATGTGACATTATACCATGTTTACAGGAATCAAGTACTCTGGAGAAAATTCATTTTACTTCCAAAGTGTCAGTTGCTTGACTCTTCCATAGAGAAAGCAGCGGTCTATAAAGGCCCGAGATACAATGTTCCATATATTCCCAACACAATACACGTGTTAAGAAGACTACACACTGACTTATAGAAAACCAACCCCAAAAGCTTCACTTGAGTTTTCTAACATGACTCAAGACTTCAGAAAATTTGAACGAGATTTCAAACTGAGAGTAAATTACTTGTTACTAAAAAGCAGGAGGGGTATTTTTCTGCCCATGCTTAGACTAATGCCCAGAATATGGTTAAGAGCTCAAGTGTTTTCTGAGTGCATTACTGTGAGCTGTAAAATCTTGTCTGTGGTTTTAGTTTTCATCATTTTAGCAGATTTATCTTGTAAAGTATCTCACCATCTCACTGGCCTCAGTTCCCTCATGTGTTAAATGGAAGAGTAATAGTTAATCTGGTAGTTTCATACTATTTCTCACATTCCAAGACTAATTGTGTTTTCCTGGCATTACTCTAATTATTCAATGGCAAAACCTTGCCTACTTCTTCTTGTTTTGGTTTTTTTTTTTTGTTACAGGGGATTGAATGCCGGACCTTGCGCTTGCAAGGAAGGCAGCAGAACCACTGAGCTAAATCCCTGGCCCTGCCTACTTATTCTTAATGCTTCTTTCCTGTGCTAGAGAGTAGTAAAAAAGGTGTCACAGAGTCTCTGTCTCCTTGAGTACCTCATAGGAGAGTAATGAAGATGAATTTTCAAAAGGTTATTAGCTGCTATATCTCTTTTGCAGTAGTTTGTAATGCCACATAGTACTATACCTATGGGTTAATTCTTGAATACATCAGATTTTAAAACTAAAGTTTTTATTAAAGTAAGCTTTTTTGGGTGATAAACAGATCTTTTATTCCTTCCTTAATGTGACCTTAAGTATGGCTGATTCAACTAGATGAACTATTTAGCTATTTAACTAGATTAACCTTGAGAAATGCATGGCACACTTTTTTGTATTTTAAAGGATGTATATTTAACCATGTCAATGAATTTACAGGAGGTAGATTGAGAATACAACTGTTTCTGAAGAAAGGGTCTTTGGAAAAAGGTGGTAGATCAAATTCCTAGAGAGTAGGAACTCAGTGTAGTCTTTAGAGCGGCTAGCATTTAAATTGACATTGAATAAATAATGTTGGAGAGACATATTTTTGAAATAAATTACTGGTTATCATGTGAAAAAATTTTAATTCCAGTATTTCCCCAAAGTTAATTTATACCACTGTTGCATGTGGTCATCAGTTTTAAAAGCCAACACTGCCCAGCACTGTGAGGAACAGATCTCCTATAGGTTTTTCTGTGGTGGTGTTATGCCTCGGACTTCTCAGGCAATTCTCTATCCTTGACTGAGTTAGGACTGGGCTGGCTCACATCCAAGAATATTCTTTTATTACTTTTCCACTTGTAAGGGTGCCTGGAAACTATAGTTTTTCTTACATTTTATCCCGGCTTTGTTCCATTTCCCGGATCCTTTAAAAGTAAAGGCTCAACTCGTCTTTGAGCTAAGTCTGCTTTGTCCTACCAATTATAACATTCCCCAAGCTATCTTTTAAGTACTGTAGATAACATTTGTGACAGAAATGAAATGAAGAGGTAAAAATAGCAAGTAAAACTTCTCGTCTCCTGCTTAACTGTATAACGTACATCGACTTGGTTTTTTTTGTTTGTTTGTTGTTGTTGCTGTTGTTGTTTACTATATCAATATAGCAAATATTTTCTTTAAATGTTATCCAATGTTAGTGGTGAGTAAAAATATACACGTGTATTTATCTCAGCACCCACTTATGCTACAGACAAATCCAACTAACTAGTGTGGGGAGAAAAAATAAAAAATTGGATAAACTAAGTCCACAAAATCACTAGAAGAATTTGCATGTAGAAAGACCCCCCATCTACACACACACACACACACACACACACACACACACACACACGCTCTGAGGAAGAGCTCTTTAAGGTGTGTGCCTCTGTGTGCCTTTCCTGAGCCATTTAGATGATGATGCGACAGGGAAGATTTTGCATTGCCAAGACGAATTTTTAAAAATGCAGTACACGCTGTTAATCGCCTAGAGCGCGGCTGGAGCAGGGGGATGCAAAGGAGGAGAGAGGCCGAGCACCCACAGCCAGCCGGGGGCTGACCTGATTCCCCCTCAGCTCCCTTCTCCTCCCCTCCTGACATCCTTCCTTCCCTTTTGCTCTCCCCGCCCCATCCCTCCTTTCTCCTTTCCCTGATTAGCAGCTCCGGGAAACAAAGGACCCGGCTCTCCTGACCTGGCCTCAGCGCGGACCCAGCACTGCCCCACACTGCCCGCCGCACCTCGCGGGCCCGGGTCCCCGGCTGGCTCCATCCCTCCCCAGCTGCCCCGCCTCCCGCCGCCCGCCCCCTCCCGCCCGCTTCCTCCCCGCTCGCTCGCTTCCTCCCCCACCAACGCAGCGCAGGGAGGAAGGCGGCCGGGCTCAAGATGGCTTTAGCCCGGCTCTGCGCCCTGCTCGCCTGCTGCTGGGCCCCGGCGGCGGTGCTGGCCACGGCCGGCGGGGACGTGGATGCGACCAAGGAGCTGGAGTGCAAGCTCAAGAGCATCACCGTGTCGGCGCTGCCCTTTCTGCGCGAGAACGACCTGAGCATCATGCACAGTCCCTCGGCCTCCGAACCCAAGCTCCTCTTCTCCGTGCGCAACGACTTCCCGGGAGAAATGGTCGTGGTGGACGACCTGGAGAACACAGAGCTGCCCTACTTCGTGCTGGGTGAGTCCGGGGGAGGTCGAGGCTGCCTGAGGCGCCCCCAGCCCCCTCTCCGCTCGCGCCTGACACTCACTGGCCGAACACCTCCCCTCCCCTCCCCCAACGCCTCCGCCCCGCATCCGCCCGCTCCTGAGAGCTCTCCACACCCACTTGCAGGCTAGCGCCTCCGTGCACCTGACGCCCCCCACGCCTAGGTAACCTGGAGGCCCGGCCCTCAGCCTCCCTTCAGCTGCCCTGCCCCGAAGGAACAGGTTGCTGGAGTCTCTCAGAAACCTTCTCCAGCCTTGCCTTGCCACCCAGCTTTGATTCAGGAACGGAGCCAGGACAGACTTCTGGTCTGCTACCCATTCAACTCCCATGAGCCCTTCTCCCCACTCCCTGACCACATGCTCAGCTCTGCTCCACACCCCCTGGACACCCATCCCCAAGTGCAGCCATTCCTGGGGCTCTGGGAACAGGTATTTTGTCATCTCTTTGTCAGACCTGTGCAGGCCCAACTGTGATGGCTGGATGGCTGGATCTCTGGTCTTCACTCCTTGACAGCCTTTTCTTTGTGGCCGTGTTCCAGGCACTCAAGTTTCTTGTATGGGGTGTTCACCCTGGCAGGGCCTGCCTCAAGGCCAAAGTGTGGTGGCTCCCTAGTTCAGCTGCCTCCACATCTCCAAGGCACATCACACTGGCTGGGATAAAGAAATCACCCAGCTGTGGTCTCTTAATGTTGTTCTCTTTGTTCCCAGAACTGCTAAGACAAGCATAGGCATTGGTACAGACAGAAGGACTTCTCTGAGCAAGAGGCTTTCCTTTCCTTTGTTTGTTTACATTTCTCTCCTTTGGCACCTCCATTGCCATTTTCTTAGGCCACAAAACTCCTTCAGGTACTGGAATGCGTACATCACTCTGAATCCATCCCTCTGTTTCCTTACCAAGTTGCAAAGATGTTGTGGTCTTGCTCTAGCATCTTGCAAAGTACTACAGGTTCATCATGTGACGTAGTTAACCAAATTTCTCCATTTCTCTATGTGTAGATATCTCTCTCATCTTGCCTACCATCCAATTCATTTCTTTAGTGGTGCTGTATGTATTCTAATTTTGACTAGGAGAGAATTCAAAGATAATTGTAAGTCATTATCTAGATCCTAGAAAACAAACAAGAAAATGATAATGTCTAAGACACTGTCCTAGACACCTGCTTAATGTCCCAGCTACTCCAGTTCACTTTGCAGGAACATGGCTTCCTGATAGATGTAGGGAAATTAGAACCACATATCAAATTCTAACATCTTTCCCATTGCTCTTCTTTAGCAAGAAATCTGTTCACACTGGAAATATTAGGAAGTGGGTGAGTAAACCCTTACTCCCCAACCCCTATGGAAAAGTAATTTCAAAAATTACCCGGTCCTTGGAAAAGTTGGCTTACAGTCGTGGAGTGTAGCTCAGTTGAGTCCTTAAAACCAACCTACATTGTTGATAGGATTATTTATTTTTGCATTAAAAATACCAATAACATAATAAAAACTGGGGGCTGGCTAGGTATGGGAACATTGTTGATATGCTACTCCTCACAATGTACAAATTGCTGGGTTATTCAGTGGGTGCAAATTTTGTGTGAAAGTCATGCTGATGTGCAAGTACAGACTGTTCATGCTAATGTATAAGAATGAGTATGGAGAATTATGTGTTTCTAAGGAGGCCGTTTTGGGTTCTGCATGCACTGTTTACTGTTCATGAAGAGGGACATGTGTGGATGAAAAAAGGGAGGCGGGGCTAGCAGGTGTTTAAAATTACACTTCCTTTTTTGCAGAATCCCAGAGAGAGGGCCCGGTATCATAATATGTATAACAGGGTCTGATCTGCACTTTCGAAGCTCAGATATTAAAGATGGCTTTGTGCATCTCTTTGCAAAGCTACCCACTGCAGCGCCCTGTTCTGGTTGCGATGGTAACTTGTTGCAACTTGGTAGTTACACATAGGCATGGGCACACTCACTTGGTGACCACATGCACTTCTAAAATGCATGGATTGTCCCCCACACCTTCCCAGTCAGCTGGGTGTGCTCAGAACCAGAGGTGTCCTGGAACCTAATCCTTCTGGCTTGATATTCCCAAGGGGAGCAGGAATGAATCTTGGGTAGGTTACTGGAGCCAACTGGATCAGAAAGAAAGAGGATACCAAGTTTGTGGGGGACAAACTCAAGGATAGTTGCTTTTGAAGTTAACTTTTATTGTCTTGGATCCATTCATTTATGGCCACTAGTTAGGGCCATAGTGACTTTAGATTAGGGCTTTCTTTAAGCTTCTCTCTGGAACCCAGTTTGCTTAATGCATTCCTTGGAGGAATCTGAATTAGTCAGTGCTGGGAATTTACTGAGCATGCTCTTGCTTAGCACTTTTAGGGCTAAGACACAGAAATTAAAAAGTAAAAACCCCCTGCTCTCAGGGACGTCCTAGTCACTGGAAACACAAAAGATACCTGTAAGAGCTGTGAGTAATACCTGGCTGTGTGGTATGGATGTTAATGAAGTGCTTCCATGATGAGAACAGATTCTATGGAAGACTAGACTCGATTGTGTGATAAGGACCCTTGACCAAAATCAGAACCTGTCACATCTTTGAGTGGAAAGAAGAAATGTAAACAAACAACAAAAGCAAGTTTTAGTTTCATTTTGTTTTCAGAATCAAGTTCTATCAGTTCAATGAGGCAGACAAGGGTTTTCTTGTTTCAAACAAGGACTGTCTCAGAATTTGTACTGAGGCTGACCTTCCAAGCCTCTTGCCTTCCACTTTTGCCATGGCCTTCAGGACTCCATTAAGGGTTTTGCCTATGCTGTCCCCTCTGTTGAGAAGGATCCTCATTCAGTTCTCACCCAGCAGTTATCTATTCTCTCTTCTAAACCTACACACATGGCACCCTCCCCAGGCAGTCTTCCACCCATCCCACCTCTGTGTTCTTTACATGCATTAAAAAACTAAGCAGAACTAAACACAAATGTATGAAATCGAAGTAGATCAGATTTGGCTTGGTCTAGGAGAGGTGAAAACATTTGAGGTCATGGAGAAGAGATGAGCAAAGGGTGGTGGTAGGAGTCAATGTGAGAATGGGATGTGTGTGCCACAGTGTGGAGCTGAGTAGACTTGTGATAGAAGAGTGGTGGTGACGGAGTGGAGACTGAGGCACGGCTCTCTGCACAAAGGCCAGGCAGGGAGGGCTGCCTGGACAGGGAAAACCATGTAGCTTGGCTCCTAGATGCTGTCTCAGCCATCAGCCTTGTCACTTTGCTGTAGAATAATCCTAGTCAGAGGGGAGGAGTCTAGCTGTTCTGTTCTCTGGGGTGGGTTTCCAAACTGTGGTCCAAGAACCAGGTGTGATTTTCATTTGTGTTGTGCTTAGTTAGCTACTCATAGTTTTGAATTGGAGTGTTTTCAGTCCAGGGCATGTAATCTCTAGATTGCCACCCTTCCCACAAATACTAATTGTATCGTGGCAGACCCTCTTCTTTATGGTGCTTATCGAGAAGCTCTGAGCCAGGTCATCTAAACTCCTGCTTTCAGATGTGTTGTAAAAATCTCTAAAGTGTTGCAAAAATAGCTGCAATTTCCAATTCAAAAGACTTAGGTACATAAGCCTTACTATCCTCTCAGGAGAATTTAAAGGCTTGCCAAATTCATGAACTGAAATTTCACATTTCAACTGTAATTTCATCTCTTAGCGTTCAAAACTGCAGACATTTCTGCTTTGGAGGCGTGTTTGATCTTGAGATGAGGTGTTAACGTGTAGTGTGCCCTCTAGTTTTTCTGTGCTGTGAAACAAGATGTATTTATCAATCTCATGATTATGTGGAGGGGATGCCCTTCTATTTCAGACCCAACTACTGAGCTTTTGCATGCATGAAACTTGGTGAAGAAAGCTATTTCTCTTGTGCTTTGGAATTTTTCCTTAGCTGCCATGCTCTTTGATCAAAGAAAGTGTTCCTGAAGAGAAATCAATCAATCTGAAAAGGTGTAGTAAGTTGCCACATGTTTAAAGTGTCTGGAGCAGTCTGGTGTGGTGGTTAAAAGGAAAGGCTCTGAAGACAGATCTGGTGTCAGCCTCAGGCTTGCCACCTGTTCCAATGGTGGAGGAAAGTGAGATCAGGGAGGGTAAATGATTACTCAGGGTCCATTCAAAATTAGGTCAATATGACACGTAAAGCTTTTTCTTACCTATAGTACATTTGCCCTGAAGTTTTTCAAAATCTGTTTTCTTTTGTGGGTAGGAGATTTGGCAGTGGTTAGCATAGGGGCAGCACACTCAACTGCTTAGTGTAGAGGAGTCATTTATGGTTTCTATGCAAATACCCCTTACAAGTCCTCACTAGTTGAGGGGTTTGTCACATAAGCCTGCATACAAAAGGTGAACCCCATCGAGAAATACTTAGGTTAGTAGATTTATTTACTTAAGAAGAATATGGAAGTTCTTATTTCATTCCTAGTTTTCAGATTTGTTATGTTTTCAGTATTCATTTATGTTATAAAAACATAACTACTCAAATATACCTGAGTGGTATATTGTGGTACCCATATATCTGGTGAACAAGGCAGGATACATGGGGATGAAGATACTTAGTATGTGTGGTGCTTTCTTGAGAAGGGCTTTACAGAAATGAAAACTGGGAATACCAGAGGGATGAGGTTCTGGAGCCACCCAGAAGGCACTGTGTCCATAAATTGCGCAGGCTTGGCTTGCCCTCCTGTTTCAGCTCCCAGAGTGCTGGGACTATAGGTGTGCACCACTGCACCTAGTTTACTGAGCTTTTCAGTTGGCTTCAAATAAAAACTTTCAGGTAAACTTTGGACTAATAAGAACAATTAAAATACTCAAATATCCATATTTTCTTTTAACACATCTTTCCATCTTCACATTGGAAGAGAAACTTTAAAGTATATTTCTTTTCTCTTCTTTTTGCTCTTCACTACAGTGCACTGCCTACCTTGTAAACAAATATGCATAGAGTGGCAGCCATACCT